CGTTCCTGAGGATGAACCAGCGGGCAATGCGCCCAGGGCTGTCAGAGATGCTTACCATAAGCACATCAATGACAACCTGGACGTGACCTGCCTGATGTTCGGATCAATGTCGGCTGAGTTACAGAAACAACTCGAAGGAACTGATGCCTTCGAGATGATCGAGCACCTCAGGACTATGTTCGAGGAATAGGCGAGGGTCGAACGATTTAACGTCCTTAAGAACCTGGTCAACTGTAAGATGACCAATGGTTCACCCGTGAGTACTCATATCCTCAAGATGAAGGGTTATCTAGAGGATCTTGATAGACTAGGGTTGGATGTTAGTCGTGAATTGGCTGTAGACCTAGTTCTTCAATCCCTGCCGGATAGTTTTGACCAATTTGTCATGAACTATAACATGCATGGGATGGAGAAGGACTTGACCGAGCTACATGGGATGTTGCGATCGGCCGAGTAGAACATCAAAGTCGAGAAAAGTGTCCTAGTGGTTGGAAAAAGTTCCAACAAAAGGAAGCGTCTGTTGGGTTTTCCTGGGATCTCATGAGCGAATCCTATTCCTAAGAGATCGGTTCTAGGATTTGCGCAGCGGTTGTAAAACAAAAATTTGATTAATACCCTAAAACCTATCATGCATGATCTTGTAGAAACGTTAGAACGCTTACCTCAATCGATCCGGGGTCTGTTTCAATTGATGTATTCGTCCGATCACTATAGGCAGGAAGAATACCTCACCCTCTACACGTATCCACACCTCGGGATGGATTCCAACCTTTGGAACTTGTCTGCTAGGACACGAATCTTCTATTCGATGATGTGCTTTGAGAAAGAGAGATTAAGATCACTTCTTCAACCCTCTAGACTCTCCAAAAGGGTCTGAAAAGTTTTCTTTTTCGACTCATTAGTGTTAGGGTTCTATTTCTCCTCTTATTCAAGTGATTAACCCTAGATTCGGACTTTAAAATTAAATTCGAACCCCAGACCGAACGGACTGCTTAGTAGTCCGTTCGGTCTGGACACTTGGTCCGTTCGGACCAGTTTCATAACTGGGTCCGTTCGAACTTATGGGTCAGTCCGTTCGGTCCAACATTTGGTCCGTTCGGACTGAGCTCTCTAGTCCGTTCGGTCCAACAACTTGGTCCGTTCGAATTAGATGCTCCGGTCCGCTCGGTCTACTCCTAGACCGGACGATCTGGACCACTTATCCAGTTTTCTCGACGTTTT